CTTAATGCTGGGTGTCAAGCAGGGAGGCGTTGGGTCCCATTTTTTCGAAGTGTTTGGTCTGACCCGACCGGGAATTGAACCCTGATCTCCCATTCTCAGGGCGGACACTCTACCACTAGGCTTCTGAGCTGGTATTTCTACTTCCTGTGACATCACCGTCCCACTTGTGCATCTCTCATTCACACACATGGATTCTGTCTAATTACATTTATTTTTATTATCTGTTGTGCTTGTGAAAGTCTTTGTCTTCCGCTGGTTTTTAAACTAGTTTTTTTTCCTGCTTAATCGCAGATACTTTTAATTGTTCAGCGAGGAGAGGTCAACTTCCTGCTTAGTGGCACAACTAGCGCTCTGACTACAAACAGTTACCTCTGGTTTACTCCCATTAAAACTTAAGAAGCTAGAGGCCATCCATGCTCTTACTTCATAGGCGATCCAGGAGTAGCTTGACTGAGCCTGTGGAAACCTGTCTCACTGCTCCACTGTTCCACTGTGCTTCTGAAAAATTGAACCAAGAGGCAGCAGATGGAGAGAGAACGACAGTGGTCCCAGAACAGACCCCTGAGGAACCCCCGGGAGAGGTTGGCATAGGTTGAAGAACAGTTGTTGCCGAGCTTCACGTAGAAGCTTCTTTCTGAGACACAGGGCCTAACCCACTCCAGGTACGTCCAGTGGTCCCTGCCCACAGCTCAAGCCAAGATAACAGGATGTTGTGGTCCACAGTGTCAAAAGCTGCTGAGAGATCCAACAATAACAGTCAGTGTGCCCTGAGTCATTAGCTAAAACACGTCGTTAAAACCTTTAAAGGAGCAGACTCGGTGCTGTCCAACTAGATAGGAACACCTCCAAACACACCAGCTGCTGGTGCACACACTTTTCAATCCCTTTAGAGAGGAAAGGAAGATGTGAAACAGGTCTAAAACTTACCAAGTCTGACGAACAAAGGCCTGTTTTTTAACGGGGGGTGGCACCATTGCGTGCTTGAAGAAGACGGGACAATGCTCATCTGCAGTAGGGTTGTCACGGTGTGAAAATTTAACCTCACGGCTATTGTGACCAAAATTATCATGGTTTTCGGTATTATCGCGGTATTTTTTTAAACGTTTACATTTTCAGACAATTAAATAAACCCTGTATATCAGGAAAATATTGTCCTCAGTTTGTGTCTAAATTTTGCCTAAAATGTGTTATTTTGTAATTATGTTGTTTATTTTTACATTTTTCCCCTTTAGTCTTTAAAATACCAATATTTGCCCATAACTTCTTATTTTATGTCTGTTTGATGTCCTCATTTAAAACGTATTAGATCAGATGGTACTCAGTACTCAAGTAGCCTTCTAATCAGATACTTTTTTTACCCTTACTTGAGTAATAAACCCTATATCAGGAACATATTGTCCTCGGTTTGTGTCCTTCCAGTGAGCTTTGCAGATGTGGGAAAATGTCATCAGGCAGTAATCATTGTTAAATTCATAATTATTCTCGGAGAGAGACCAACTCTTATCTGCCCCTGGGAGCCCCGTAATGCATAGCGTCATTTCAACATGGCGGTGTCCGCGACACGGTTTATATGCAGGTAGCGGCACTGCGGCTGCTTTATATAGCGACTCGTTGCATTCTCCCTCAACCCAAATCCTCGGATCACGCATTTTAGCTAAAACGCTAACGTTAGCTTGCCTTGCGTTGACTGTAGAGTTGTGGGTGATGGTCACGCAGATGTGTCATGAGATTTGAAGCATTGCTGCCTTTCACAGACACTTTTTCTGCACGTGCTGCAAACAGGAGAGCCGTCTTCTATCAACTGTCCCTCGGCATTCTTGAAATATCCAAAAGATGCCCGTACTTCCCACTTTGTCTTCTTTGAGGGATAATAAATGTCCTGAGCGCTGCCGTCTCCTCCTTTGACCATTATTTCAGCTTTAGCTTCAAGGAAGTTTTGGTTGTAAACAACAAAGTGCGCATGTGCCGCCGGCAACTTCAGCAGATGATACGGTGGCTGGTAAGGGTCACCGCGCCGACACCGCAGCCACGGTAATCCACCGAGATAATATATGTTTTAAAAAACAAGACGGTTATTATTGTCAACTTTTTTACCGGGGTTTACCGCCGCACCGGTTACCGTGACAACCCTAGTCTGCAGCACTGTCAAAATAGAGTGGAAAAGCCTGTAATAGCCCATAATCGATGTGAAGACCGAGCTGTTGTTCTCATGAAGCTTCAGTGATCCTGTCACTCCACAGGAAGCTGGAAGCAGCTAGCAGTCAGAACTCCGACCTCCTGACCCTGGTTGCCAAACGGGAAAAGATGGTCCACAACAACCAGCTCTCCCTGGAGGAAAAGAACAGGGAATGTTCCCTGCTGAGCCAGAAGTTAGAGGAAGCTCTGGATGACGCTCGCCTGCAGGTGAATATTCCCACATCCTGGTCCTCAAGATCCTGTTTCAGGGGTTTTCCTGCTCCAACACCAATGAGTGGTTTACCTGCTGAGGAGGTCATTGAGGCATTAGAACGCTCTGTGTCCTCTGTGATGCTAGTGCTTCATGAACTTTTCGATTATCCCTGTGGGATGGATCCCTCAGAAGAGATCAGGTAATCCAGTCCTCAGACTTCCCATGACCCCCCTCCCCAGATCAAATGTGCTATCCCTGCAGATGTCGGAGACCAGAGAACATTCTGCCACCAAAGAGCGTTCTGCTCAGTCCAGAGTCCTGGAGCTGGAGATCCAGCTCAGCAGAACCACCTCAGAAATAGAAAAGATCAAACGCAGCAGAGAGGAGGTGAGGGTTTGAATCTTGATATGATTCAGAGTTCCAGGCGTCCAGCGTAGAACTGAGGGTAATGTTTGTGATTCCCAGGTGGAGAATCGGTACCAGAGCCGACTGCAGGACCTAAAGGATCGTCTGGAGCAGTCGGACAGCACCAACCGGAGCTTACAGAACTACGTTCAGTTCCTCAAAGCGTCATACGCCAATGTTTTTGGTGAAGTCGCTCTCAGCAGCGCCCTGAGGGTCCCCTCCCCCATCTGACAGCATCTGATTCGGACTACAGAGCGGACCGGAACTCTGCTGAAGCATCAGCGCGGAGCCTGGGAGTTCCAGCTGCTCTGCTCTGCAGTAAAAGTCATCAACCACAGCTGTGCAGAACAAGCGGTTGACCGTTCTGTTTAACTCTTCGTGGTGTAACGTTTCATAGGTGGTCACAACTGATGAGCTGTCACTAAAAGTGAAAGGAATTCAACAAATACAATGTTCAATAGAAATCTGAATCTTTGTTATTATTGAACCTTCATTGACTCTGGAAACTAGGTCACTGGGTAAGTCGGGGAAACAACACTATAATCTGACACCGAAGCAAAGATAGAATAAAAATAGAGTTTTATAAACTATTTCTGCAACTGACGATCACACCGGATAACCGGAGATGAATGATTGTTCACGGTAAAATCAGCTGAGACAAAAACCAGACGTTAATGATCTGATGTGATTTAACCCTTTCATACATAGTGGTCACTACAGTGGACAGCGACTCAAATTTGCAAGGTTTTATTTATTTATTTTTGCTATTAGAGCAAGTCACCCCCAAATCAGCTTTTTCTTCTGATAAACTATATAAATGCGTGTCTAATCGTGCTGCAGACACGTGTCGTCAATACAGGGTCCTTAAAAAGTCGTAAATTTGCTTTTCCAAATTTAATGCCTTAAATCCCTAAAACTGACAAATAATCTTTAAATACAGTTTCTAAAGGTCTTAAATTACCGAAGACCCAATAAAAAAGATTCATTAATTTCTATAAAATTTTCATGAATGTCTAGTTGGTGTTCAGCATTTTTTGTGGATGATGTTGACATAAGGGGAACCGTACACATTCAGTTGAATGTGAAAGGGGGCTATCTTTAGATGAGCACATTAGCTGTTTAAGCTAGTGGGAGCTTGCGCCATGGAGAAGTGCAAGTTTAATGGTAACTGGATGGCTAATCCCACGTTCGCTACGTGGTTGGCACCGGTTCCAGGCAATAGCTGGAAATTATAGCTTAAATTTAATTTTTTTTAATTTGTTTTAAGTGCCCTTAAAAAGTCTTAAATTTGGCTCCCTTAAACCTGCAATAGTTTTGCACTTTAGTGCATTTCAGTTAAAATGTTAATATTCTGCCTAAAACTGTCAGTGTTGTGCCGTTGTCAGGTAAAAACTCTGCACTGCAGTTGAATTTAAATCTGCCATCGCTATTGGCTAAGAGGTACCCTAGAACGTTAGCTGGTACCATATGATGTCACAATATCGTTGTGAGCCTGTGTGTGTGTGTGTGTATTTGTTAGCGGCTCCACCCTCTCGGTCTGCTAGGCAACAGCGTTTGTTGCATTTTTCAAACAGGAAGTGAGAGTGGAGTAATACTCTGGTAGGGGGTGACTTGCTCTTTAAGCACAGCTGTAACGAACCGTTAGTGTCAGTTAATTTCTGCCAGATGAAACGCTCCGTAACGTCTGTTACTGGCAGTGCAAGCAGTCGACAGGTCGTCCTGCACAGATCGGGCTTTATGTACAGTGGTGTGAAAAACTATTTGCCCCCTTCCTGATTTCTTATTCTTTTGCTCGTTTGTCACACAAAATGTTTCTGATCATCAAACACATTTAACCATTAGTCAAAGATAACACAAGTAAACACAAAATGCAGTTTTGAAATGATGGTTTTATTATTTAGGGAGAGAACAAAATCCAAGCCTACACTGCCCTGTGTGAAAAATTAATTGCCCCCTGAACCTAATAACTGGTTGGGCCTCCCTTAGCAGCGATAACTGAAATCAAGAGTTTGCGATAACTTGCTACGAGTCTTTTATGGGCCATTCCCATCTGTACCGGGTCAGCCCGGGCCGGGTAGCGTAGGTTGTTTGCATATCTGGGTGGCCTGGTATTTTTCCGGGCCGACCAAGGCTCATTCTCAGCCCTCTTCTCGAGGGGGTCTGCTTCAGGCCGACCAGGGCCAACACACCCACTGCTGACAGCAAATTCACACCTTCCATTAGAGCAAGCCTCTGATTGGTGGGTAGAATCAGCCCACATGGGCTTAAGGCAAGGATGTGTGGAATCAACCGGGCCAGGCTGGGGCCGACTGGGGCTACCCGGCCCGGGCCGACCCGGTACAGATGGGAATGGCCCATTACAGTGCTCTGGAGGAATTTTGGCCCACTCATCTTTGCAGAATTGTTGTAATTCAGCTTTATTTGAGGGTTTTCTAGCATGAACCGCCTTTTGAAGGTCATGCCATAGCATCTCAATAGTATTCAGGTCAGGACTTTGACTAGGCCACTCTGTTAGGTATTTTTATTTGTTCATCTTCGTTGTGAAATCTTTTGTTAAATGTGTTGGGAAAAACCTGACCTTACTTGTTTTCACGTTTGGGTGTTTTCAGAAACTCCTTTCTGCTTTAGGCATTTTGATCCAGTATCTGAAGTTTTCCTGTGCATTCTAAGACCAAGATGTTATTCCAAACTGGTCAGGCAGGGGTTTCACGCTAATGGTATTTCTGAGTGTGTATGTGCAAATAAAAACCCCTCCACAGCTTTGGCTCCTTTGTGAAAGGAAAATGGCCGCCGTGTCTGATGGTCTGATTCTTTCTCACCCGTTACAAAGTGAGCTTTGTAACGTATGATATGGCCTTTGCAAAGTGTTACACTTTGCAGAGTTTGTTGTCTGTTTAAGGTTTGTTACAATTTACCAAATTAAGAATCTAATCCCTCTGTGTGTGTGTTCTGACTTCCTTTAAGGTAATTTAAGTTTAAGGTAATATAAGAACAATAGTATAAATTAAAATACCCAACATAGTGGTGAAGAAGGCTAAATTACCGAACACACTCCAAAGTCTTCATTTTGTTGTTCTTCAGCCAGTCAGAGGTGGATTTGCTGGTGTGTTTTGGGTCATTGTCCTGCTGCAGCACCCAAGATCGCTTCAGCTTTAGTTGACCAACAGATGGCCGGACATTCTCCTTCAGGATGTTTTGGTAGACAGTAGAATTCATGGTTCCATTTATCACAGCAAGCCTTCCAGTTCCTGAAGCAGCAAAACAACCCCAGACCATCACACTACCACCACCATATTTTATTGTTGGTGTGATGTTCTTTGTCTGAAATGCTGCGTTACTTCTACGCCAGATGTAACGGGACGTTTGCCTTCCAAAAAGTTCAACCTTTGTCTCATCAGTCCACGAGGTATTTTCCCAAAAGTCTTGGCAATCATTGAGATGTTTCTTAACAAAATTGAGACAAGCCCTAATGTTCTTTTTGCTTAACAGTGGTTTGCGTCCTGGAAATCTGCCATGCAGGCCATCTTTGCCAAGTCTCTTTCTTATGGTGGAGTCGTGAACACTTTAGAAGTTGTCCTGGGGTCTTTTGTGACCTCTCGGATGAGTTGTCTCTGCGCTCTTGGGATAATTTTGGTCGGCCGCCCACTCCTGGAAAGGTTCACCACTGTTCCATGTTGTTGCCATTTGTGGATAATGGCTCTCACTGTGGTTCGCTGGAGTCCCAAAGCTTTAGAAATGGCTTTATAACCTTTACCAGACTGATAGATCTCAATTACTTTTGTTCTTGAATTTCTTTGGATCTTGGCATGATGTCTAGCTTTTGAGGTGCTTTTGGTCTACTTCTCTGTGTCAGGCAGCTCAGATTTAAGTGATTTCTTGATTGAAACAGGTGTGGCAGTAATCAGGCTTGGGGGGGGGGGGGGGGCTACAGAAATTGAACTCAGGTGTGAAACACAGTTGGGTTATTTTTTAACAAGGGGGGCAATAACTTTTTCACACAGGGCAATGTAGGTTTGGATTTTGTTCTCTCCCTAAATAATAAAAACCATCATTTCAAAACTGCGTTTTGTGTTTACTCGTGTTATCTTTGACTAATGCTTAAATGTGTTTGATGATCAGAAACATTTTGTGTGACAAACATGTAAAAGAATAAGAAATCAGGAAGGGGACAAAGAGTTTTTCACACCACTAAAAATTCACCACTTTTACATGTATGGTTTTATTTATTTAGTTGATGTAAACTGATATTTTCATAACCTGAGCTGTTGCACACTTGCTCTATTTTTAGACTTGCTGTGCACATCCACGTGCCGTGCTTACGGCTGTGACAAGTCCCGGTCCAGCTGTTCCTTGGCGAGCGGAGTGAGGTGTGTTTCATTTGAAATGTTAGCATTTTTGTTTGTTTTCTTTTTGTTATTTTCTTTATTTTGAGGTTTTATTTTCTGTCTATCCATCTATGAAGCGGTTCTGTTTGTGACTGTTTCTTAAAGCGGCTGCACCCATAGAGACTTCCCCTGCCGTCACTGAAGGCAGGGCTGCCACAACAGCTGTTTTCTTGCATTTGAGACCCTCGTTGGACCCTAGTCAGTCAAGCCAACAGAGCGCACACCGTCCACTGAGGTGGACATGTAATTATTTGTTAATTAAACGTAGAACAACAAAAAAAGTAATTGAAATTTGTTTCATTCATACCTAAATGTGAATGAAACGAATTGTTAACAAAATCATGGTTGAAGATTTTCCTAATTGGTGCATGAAAGGGTTAAACATCTAATGAAGTGTCTCAGAAAAGAACGAGATGTCTGGGAAAATTGGAATAATCAAGCTGAATTTGGTGCCGTGTGTAAACGCCTATACACGTTTCTCAGGTCAAGTCTGGTTGGTCAAAGTGTGTAAACAACCATTTCATTAAAAGTGAACTCACTTCCTGTTTTAACCAGTCCTGCCAGACCTCCGAGTTCAGCCAAAGCTCACAGCTCATGCTAAATGACCATCCTGGGGAATCGAACCACATTTTTCAGTGGAATAATTTTAGCGGCACAAAGAACCATTCTTTCTTAGATCTATCAATTATTATTTTCTCAATCCACCACCAACTCATCAGATGTAACACTGTCCGCCAGACTTTGGACCAGACATGGGTGTCTGAGGGTGCCTATACGACCTTCAGATACATCAGAAGTCCACGTTTTACCGACACCGGATCTCCAAGAGCTTCCACGATCCAGGGTGTGTAGACTAAACAATGGCATCAGAGTGGATTACATCAAACATCCAAATGTCTTTTATAAACCAGACATCACACCTTTCTGAGTCACTTAGTGAAGCTCTTAAACACACCAGGTCATGTTTAATCAGAGTTCATTCACTGTATCATTTGATATCACACTGTCACCATTTATAATCATTTCATCGTCATTACTAGAAATGGATGTTTGTAAACCATATTTGTCTCTGTGTCAAATTATTATAAAGTGTTGTTAACCTATTTTCATCAGCAATCCAATATTAAGGTTCAACAATATTGATAATCCATATTTTTATGGAATATTAAAATTTTTATTGAATACCTTAAATTTTTATTGACAATTTATTAAAAGTAACCTCCTACAAATCGTTACAATACTATAGTGTCTATTCTCTTTGCATTGTTTAAAGAGATTCGTTTATGTGCAATTTTTTAAAATAAAAACAAATTAAAACTTTCTGAAGGAATCCAGAGTTAAACTAGCCTCGGCTTCTTTCGGCAACTGTCGCTCTTTTCCGGCAGAGATCGGATCTTTCCGTACAGCTGCAGGATTACGTCACGACTGAAAGAATCCAGAGCGCCCCGCCCCGCCGCCCTACAGAACCGTCAGTTCGACTCGCTGCATAGCTTCCGCTCCGTTAGCTCTTTCTAAAATACGTGGAGGTAAGAAAATAATTTCATGTTTTCAAACTGCAGCGGAAATATGAGCATTAAAGCTAATGTAGAACGTGAGACACACGGTGTTTTGTTGCTTTGGTCCCTCGTTCGGATTTATTTTTGTGTGTCCGGTACCGATTCGCTAGCTAGGCAGCTAACAGCATTAGAGGTGAAATAAAAGACGAAGTGTTCGGTTTAGATGTGAATAATGGATGCGCCTGGGTCAGAGGACCGCGGGTGAACGCAGCAGCGCTGCTAGTCCGGATTATTGGTGATGTGTTTTTGACTCTGGAGAGCATGAAAGCAGAGCAGCTGTGAATGAGCAGCAGCATCTCTCAGCTTAACCCACTTATCTGTCCTTTGTGTGTGTGTGTGTGTGTGTGCGTGCGCGCTTGTGTGCGTGTTTCATGGGGAGCCGCCTGGTTCGGTCAGCGTTCTGGATGCTTCACCACGCCCTTTTTAAACCCATTAATTTTGGTATTCTGATCAATAAGCTTTCATGAGTCTGTGTTTTTCTTGGATTAACCAGTTTTTTTGTTCCTGTGTTCCTTAAAAAGTGCTTAAAATGTTATCATTAAAACTGAGAAATGATATAATCAGTTTCATACTTATCTAGAAATGTGACAAAGTAATCTTCATGCACACATACTGAACTAAAGAGCTGAGGAAAGGAATCAAATAATCGAGATGCGGACATAAACGATCCTGAATCGTAGAAAAAGCAATCGATTATAGTTGAATGTAGCAACTGCGGCACCAGCGTTGCTTCCTCATTAGGGCTGCCACAAACGATTATTTTATTGGTCGACTAATCGTGTCCTGCATAAAGGTTTAGCTTATTGCACCAGGATGCTCAAATTTATACCATCATTAGCTTCTAGTCAGAAGTGTGATCAGCTATGTGCCATCTAATAATAAAGCTTATCAAACAACTTTAACTTTGTAACCTGTTAATACAAATGCTGCAGTCAGATGGAGGTAGGCGCCTAAAACCAAACATGACTTGTGTTCACAAGAGGCTGGAGCAACGCAGTGCTCCTAGAGCACTTCTGCGTTAGAGCCGGGGCTCAGATCTCCAGAGACAGCACAGGGACTGTGGAGGACAGACACCTTCAGGAGTGGCTTGTTAAAAAGCGTAATGAGCGCAATATAAAGCTAGTTATGTCCAAGATAAACGGAAGTCTGCAGCAGCACAGAGACCGCCCCCATGCCCCCTTTACACCACCATCACCTAGTCTTTCGTAAAAGTGACACGATTGTGCACTATTACTGTCATGGTCTGTGCACGTATAAACGACCTAAGGCTGCCTGATGCGTTAGGGCCGGTTGGCCAGCATTGTTTTCTGAAATAGGCCGTAGAGACCAAAGGTTTTGTGATTAAAACCATCCAGATGGTTTCTGCTCAGCTGGAGTTAGAAGCCAAGTTAAAACGTTGATTAAATCATTCAGAGTTTCAGCCATCCTAGTGTTCCACAGCTGATGCGGCTCGGTCTTCCCAGATCACATGACGAGTCCTCAGGAACATCTGACAGGAGCTGGAGTTCAGACCGGCCCTGTGTAGAAGCTCTGATCGATCAGAAGGTTTTTAATCGTTTAAAATCCAAGATTTAAATCTTAAATCAGTCCTGAACACGTAGGCAGCTGGTGCCGGGGTTCAGACAGGTGATGTGGTGGTGCTCTGGTGAAGCAGCTGTAGGAGACAGCAGAGACAATAGGTGAAGCATGTTTCACCGGCTCAGACCGTCACAGGGACAGTAACACCCAGCCTGGTTCAGCTAGTGGAGTCTGGGCTTACCAGCAGAACAAATGGGTCCTATTTTAATTCATTTGTCTCCTTTAGGAAGTCTTGGAAACAGTCTGGTACTTGTATTCCTTTTATAGCTGAAGCTTTTTTCAGATTATGTTTCATGTGTGATTTTTATCTGCCAGTAAAAAGGACAAAAATATCCTTAAACTCCATGTTGGATGTCTCCAACGGGGATGGACGTGTTTCATTTTCAGGAACTCCGCTAAGAGGTAAACTATACGGTTTTCCTGGTTCCTTTTAACCAGGATGGCATTAAATGTTTTATTGTCTTTAATCCCAAAGGGAAGTCTGACTTTTCCAGGAAGCTGTTTCTGTCTCATGACAGATAGATGTGCCCATCCATCAAACCCAGTAGGTCAATCATTCCAGTTCCTCGTTAACCCACGGCCCTCATTTATCTGGAACAGAAACGTGGAAGCTAATTGGAACGCCGCTGATGTTTCAGGACTGTTAAGTTTGTGGCTCGTTCTGATTGGACAGAAACGGCGCTTGTTTCCTTCGTGGACCTCCAGAGCAGCTGAGAGACTACATTTTTTTGGGTTTAGAGATGTTTGAAAGACCGTATCTCATTTCTGATTTAGCTTTGATTGGAGCGTTTTATGATTCAGTCCACCTGCATCAACGTTTCTGATAATCAGGTTAAAGTCCGTGGGGGCTTGGCTGATGCTGCTCCGTCAGCGGCGTAATGGAAAAGCCGTTTTCCACAGGACTGAATGATTCAATCAGGCCATAAAGAAAAGCAAACACTCTGTCCTAGTTGTTGTAGAGCAGCCTCTGGTCTTCAGAGCTAGGCTAGGCTAACAGCTAGTCTGACTGATCATCAGCCATAATATTGTTCTATGTTTTTACTGACATCAGCTTTACATTTTTGGGGATTTTGTGGTTATTGCCATGGAATTCTGTTTGTTTATATTTGTTAGGGATTTTATCAATTTGTTTATCAATAACCCATTTCCTGTAGTCGACGAGAAAAGGAGACAATGAGATAAAGAGTCAACCAGTTATAACTGTGGCATATGCACGAGGCAAAATGCCCCGAACATCTGGTCACAGAGTTTATTTAAACCGAAAGATAAAAAAGAAATGTGTGTGTGTGTGCGTGCGTGCATGCGTGTGTGTATGTGGTTGGGGGGGGGGGCACAGTGTGTGGGTGTGTCTGAGTGTGAGAATGCTTCAGGACATTTGTTAACAGGATTAAAGCAATGAAATATAAAATTTCCATAACAATATGGAATTCTGTTTGTTTATATGGAATTCTGTGGTTCTGCTGTGTTAAGCCTGATTTATGCTTCTCCGCCTGCGTCAGTGCGGAGACACGCAACGCCATTATCCGTCCTTGCGTAGGGATCTGGCAGGCACGCAAGTACGTACGGAGTCGAGCCCACTTTTTTAAACATCCGTCGAACGAGACGGATTACGCAAGCTTGTGATTGGTCAGGACGCTGCTGTTGTTTACAGCGCCACCATTGCAAAGAGAGCCGAGGATAACTAGCGGCAGACACGGAGAAGCTTGAAGAATACCTCGCGAAAAAACTCTAAAAATATGAACGTTTCATCCTCCCGTGACTGGAGGAGTGAAAAGATGAACAGCAAGCGTTTTATTTGTGGACGGAAATGACAGGAAACGTGGGTTTAGAGGTGGGGAGCGCATGAAGCGGTGGGAGAATGAGGAAAAAAATATGTCCGTGTTAAAAAGTCCCTTATATACACAAAAAAAAACAAACAATATAAACAAACGATCTTGGACCGATACATGACATGATACCACAGAACAGCGCTACACCCTCTGTGGTCCTGCCGGGCAATTGCTTTGCAACACACTCCAGGAGACGGAGAAGTATGAGAGCAAAACGCTTCCGTCAATCCGTGTGTGTCTGTCCCTTGCGGAGCTGACGGAGAAGCATAAACCAGGCTTAAGTGACCCCTGCCTCTAAAGGCTATCAGGTTGTTTTTATCCTGAAACTAATTGAATTAGTTCCATCCCACATCCATGTTTACTCTGTTTACTTTTAATCAATGACCTCGTCCTAATCCCGTCACCTCACTGCTTCCTAACAATGGTTCCATCCCTCCTGGACCAAACAGTTGTCCTATACATTTTTGCAGCATGTTGACGATTCCTAAACCCTAACTGAAGGTAATAGTTGTGTGTGTGCGTGTGTGTGCGCATGGCCCGGTTGGTTCCAGCAGAATGTTCTGGTGGTGTGGGGCAGCGGGGTGTTTTGCTGAGTAGCCGTGGGCTCCAGGGAGGGGTGGGAGTTGTGCAGCAGCTTCCGGCGCAGGGCTGGGCTTCTGAGCAGCACAGTCACTGCAGGTGCAATGCGTCTGGAGCTGCAGTCAGAGCTGGGATAATCTGAGACGTGTCTGGACCGTGATCGGACTGGGCCGGGCCGAGCTGTGTTCTAGCTAGGTTCAGACGGAACAGCTGATGTGGGTCTGGTTTGGTTTTGCATGCTGTAGCTGATTCTGCTCTAACCTTCTGCATGTTGTTGCTGTGAGATTCTCTGCATGACACCTTGTGAGGATAATCTGATTTAATCTCTAACCTCAGCAGCACTTTGTGTGTTTAGTGTTAGAGGACAGAACCAGCTCTTTGTTTTGGTTTTGTCTGATGTCTCTCAGCATCACAGATTCTGGTTCTGCAGGTAAACGGGTCTCCTGTTGGATTTATAATGCGCTACAAACGATCATCATTCACTCATTCACTCATTCATTCACACTCTTCCGGTGATGATCTACATGGTTGCTACAGCAGCTCTGGAGCTGTCTAACCCGACGCCTCCACAGCCAGCTCAGGTGATCAGCACATTCCTAGGAAGGAGTTGGGATTGAATCAGCAGCCCTCTGATTGCTGGACAACCCGCTCCATGTCCTGAGCTGCTGCTGCCTGTTTAATCAGATTACCATGACAATAGTGGGTGTGTGCTGAAGTGAGATACATCAACACCAGAGTTGGAATCTTCTCCTGGAACGTTTTTCCGCATGGACCCAGACCCAGGAACATCCGGATGAAGGTAGTATTAAAATGTAACCTCGCGGTTATTGTGACCAAAATGATCACGTTTTCGGTATTATCGCCATATTTGTTTTAAACGTGTTACATTTTCAGACGGCTAAATAAACCCTCTTTAGCAGGAAATATCGTCCTCAGTTTGTGTTTAAATTTAGCCTAAAATTTGTTGTTTTGTAATTATGTTGTTTATTTGTTTACATGTTTCCCCTTTAAGTTAAAAATACCAAAATTTACCCATAACTTCTTATTTTCTGTCTGAGGTCATCATTTAAAAAATATGAGACCAGACGATACTCAGTACTCAAGTAGCCTTCTGATCAAATACTTTTATACCCTTACTTGAGTAATTTCTCTGACAGCTACGTTTACTTGAGTAAAAGGTGCTGAAGTGGTGCTGCTCTTTGTCATGGCCACCAGCCTGGCCTCTTCAGGTGCAGGAGTCAGGATCACCCAACCCCAGTGAGAACGGCTGTTGGCTGCTCTACCAGCCCCGCCGGTGGTTTCCGTCAGTGGGACAAAATAAAAATTATATCTCCCGTTTCTCCTATTGATTATTTCACGACACCTACGTGTTGTTGGTCGTGTCGAGGGTATTACGTGTACTAATTATAGCACAACAACTAAATAAACCTATCAGGATGGTTGTCCTCGGTTTGTGCTCTTCCAGTGAGATTTGCTGATTTGGGAAAACGTCATCAGGCTGTAATGATTGTTAAATTCAATCAATCAATCAAAGCTTTATTTATAAAGCGCCTTCCGCAACCCTGTCAGGAAGCCCAAGGTGCTGATTCATAATTCCTAATAATGCAAAGAGAGACCAGCTCCTCCTTCAGCCATTGTTTCAGCTTCAGGAAAGTTTTGTTGTAAACCATAAAGTGCGCATGTGCAGCACCCTCAGCAGGTGAGACGGTGGCTGGTAAGGGTCACCGCGGCCACGGTAATCCACTGGGATTATATGTTTTAGAAATCAAGACCACAATTATTGTTAACATTTTTACCATGGTGCACCGCCACACCGGTTACCGTGGTATCCCTAATCGGGATCTGAAGAAACTCCATCCCCTTTGTCCTTCCTGAGTGAGGAAAACCACTCCCATATCCTGGATGTTCTGCTGTCCCAGTCTCTCCGGGCCTATCCCAGTCTGTCTCAGCACACCCAGTTCTGGTATTTGTCTCCTCATGGTGACTGTGTGGACTATCTGGGACCAGCTGTGAGGAGCTCTGGGAAAACCCCTCCTCACCATGTTGCTGTGAAGCGTTTATCTGCTTTAACTTTGCTGATGACGGGACAATGCAGGATGTTTTCTATAAATGATCCAGGCTGTTCCTGGAGCGGCTCCTCCTAATGGAGGAGATCAATGAGCATTAGGCTTCCATCCACCCTCCCACATCCACGTTTCCTTCACTTAAAGCCTTTATAGGAAACGTTTGACAGAAAGTCTGATGGAAAAATGGACGAATGAATAATATTAATGCTGATGGAGCAGGCTTGTTTATGTGGGGCTGTTATCCGGTGCACCAGGGTGGGGGGGGGGGGTGCCTTATCAGAACCCTTGGGCCGCAGCACAACTCTCACCGTGACTCAGCTGCTTTGTCAGATGTCTGCAGTTCAACAGCCTCAGTGATGAGAAATACAGATCAAGCTGGTTGTGATCACTGTCACACACACACACGGGCACACGCACAGGCACACGCACAGGCACAGGCACACGCACAGACACACACACACACACACACACACACACACACACACACACACGAGTCCAGGATCAAAAATATGAAGTGAAAAAACGATTTTCACAGATTTAGATTTAGAAGCGGAGGTTGCCGTGGAAACTGTTTTCTGTTTGTCATGTCTGGCTAAAATCGTCACTAACGTGAAACCGAGGTAGTCTCCTGCTTTAGCTTCTGACAGAAAACAGACGGTGCAGCTATGGAAGAAATGCAGTCTCACCAGAATATGACACTGAAGGTTTAATCTGTGAAATTATGGAGTAGAATTTTTCACCTAGATTACACCAGCAGAGGCCGTTTCGTCCCTGGAAACGCTCGGATTAGAAAAGCTGCTGCCCGCTCCTCCAGCTGACTTCTAGTTCCTGAAATGGTAGCACCAGATCTTCTAGGGGCAGCAGCAGTTCAGGGGGTAGAGCTGGTTGTCCAGTAATCAGAAGGTTGCAGGTTCGACCCCGGCTCCCACCAGGGAACGCTGCTGTTGTGTCCTTGGGCAAGACACGTAACCCACCTTTGCGTGTGGTCGGAGGAACCAGTGGTGTCTGTGTTAAGCAGTCTCACTTCCATCAGTGCGCCTCAGGGCAGCTGTGGCTACATCGTAGCTCAACATCACCAGAGTGTGAATGGGTGAATGACTGAATGTGTTGTGAAGCGGCTTGAGGGGTTGTAGAACCCTAAGAAGGCGCTATACAAGCACAGAAACGACTCGCTGGGCATTAGTTTACAGGTGTTCTGAAAGAACTGGGGTCACGTTTTTTTGCTCCCGATCCGATTCCAAGACGTTTGATTTTAAGATTTTGCCGATACCAAATCCCAAATCTGATACTTTAGAAATGCATTAAGAAAAAAACACACACTAGGGTTGACCTTTATTGCTTTATGTCCTTCCTTTAGATCTCCCGCCCTAAAACACTCGTTTAGGAAGTGAAACGTCGGCATGAATAAAAGCAAAAGTAGCCTTGTTGTCGCTCGTATTTCAGATCCTTTCCTCGGTGTGCGGCTCTTCTGAGCGACAGGGACCCTAACCCTCTACCAAACACCCGTCGAGCTGCTGCGTCTGTAAGAGAACGCAGATCATACAGCCACTCCAAACCCGACGCTCGTCCAGCGTGGATAAGCCGCCATCTTGGCATCTTGCCGTCCGTTTGTTTGTTTAACGTCTCTTTTAGCGTCGGCTGGTTTCGCCGCGTTGTCGCAGCGAACTGAACAGGGTTAGTTTTTTAAGGTGGTGCATCAGAGTTGCAGTGTTGAAGGCCCAGTTTGCACACATCACACGTGCTTATTACCCCCCCCCCCCCCCCCCCCTGCTGTCTCTTTTACAGCACATCCATCTTCTCTCTTAAGGCAACACGTATGCTCTGCGTTAGCGAACTGCCACGTTATGGTGTCTGAATTCCCGGGATACCTTAATTTGTGCGACTTTGTGGCGTTGTCTGTGAAACAGAATACTGATGTAGAGGAGCTAGTAGAGCAAGTCACCCCCTACCAGAGTCTAACTCCACTCCCACTTCATGTTTGAAAAAATGCAACAAATGATGTTGCCTGGCAGACCGAGAGGGCGGAGCCACTGACAAAATACACACACACAGGCTCACAACAACATTGTGACATCATAATGTACCATCTAACGTCATTGTGTACTTCTTAGCCAATAGCGATGGCCGATTTAAATTCTAATGTGGTGCAGAGTTTTTACCTGACGACGGCACGACACTGACAGTTTTAGGCAGAATGTTTAAATTTTAACTAAAATGCACTAAAGTGCCAAATTATTGACTACACTTGTCTGCAGCACGATTAGACATTAATTTGTATAGTTTATCAGCAAAAAATACTTGGTTTGGGGGTGACTTGCTCTTTAACTAAGCTCTTAAAATAATGTTTGGTGTTTTAAACGGTTAAATCAGATCTTTCCCGCCCGATTCCCATTTGCTGACAATCAGTCGCGTGATTGGACCTGATTTCTGATCACGTGATTGGATTGCAGCATCCCTATAAATAAGGAGTGAAAGGAGAGGTGGTGTGCTGATAGTCAGGACGACCAGCAGACCGAACTTTATGGTGAGGAGCAGCAATCGGAGCTAATGGGGGTTTTACAGCACGTCTGGAGACGAGCACCCATTTCTTTGGGTTCGTTAGCCGTTTCTCAACCTCAGGAGGTCGGGGAGATTTGACTGGGAGATGGGAGGGCTCGGTCCTCCAGACTTTGCACAGATTTCAGCATGTTGCTCCTGCTTCGGCGGGGTGTGATGTCACGGACCAGCTCCCAAAGGCATCCACAGAACAAAGTGTGCAGGTGTTTAATCGGGTCAGAGGACCTGGGGCGCTGTGTGATGTAAACTGCTTTTTATGGTGCTATGCTTCATTGGTTGTGGTTCTGACCCGGTCTCAGCTGCCGTGTGACTGGAGTGGGTTGGGGGGGGGGGGGGGGGGCCCACAGAAGGGCCTAATGCAGGCATCTTTGTGCTCAGAGCTGTGGTTCCTGTCCACATGCTGATGGAATGTCCGGCCCCGCCCCCGTTTGGCATTTCTGGCGTTCCAGCGGGTCTCTGAGCTGTGTGTGTGTGTGTGTGTGTGTGGGGGGGGGGGGGGGGGGGGGGTCTTTGTCCCTGTCCTCCACATCCGAGCCAACTTCCTGTCTCAGCACTCTGTTACTTCAGCTGAATGTGTTTGTGTGAGTGAAGTCATTCGTGATGGGCTCTAATCAGGCTGGTTTCCATAGAAATGTTAGCCAGCAGGTTCTGGTACCAGAACCCGAGATTGGGCCCAGACGGTTCTGCATCAGGTCTGACATTCATGTTTGATTTTTTTTATTAGAAGATGGACGTCGTTGGAGTCAAAGTGCTGGAGACAGCCGAGGACATCCAGGAACGCCGGCAGCAGGTCCTGGACCGCTACCGGCGTTTCAAGGAGCTCTCCATCATGCGCCGGCAGAAGCTGGAAGACTCATACCGCTTCCAGTTTTTCCGGCGGGATGCGGATGAGCTGGAGAAGTGGATCCAGGAGAAGCTGCAGATCGCCTCTGATGAGAACTACAAGGACCCGTCCAACCTGCAGGTCTGCTCTCAGGGCTCTGGACATCCGGACCTGTGGCGAGAAGCTGGTACTCATCATGGTTGTTTTTCAGGGGAAACTGCAGAAACATCAGGCCTTCGAAGCCGAGGTCCAGGCCAACGCCGGCGCCATCATCAAGCTGGACCAGACGGGAAACCAGATGATCAACGAGGGACACTTCTCTTCGGAGACCATCCGGGTAAGTCTCAGCGTGAACCGGGTCTGAACCGGGTCAGTATCAGGGGCTCTGGTCTGGATCGGGGGCTCTGTTAGGGCTGTGTTCATACTTCCTGCTAACCCATGGGTCTGGTTCAGTCCTACACGCCATACCGGACCCAGCAGAGACCCATTGTCACCTGTGTCAACATGGCTGAGTACATCCAGGTGTGTGCTGTGAGTCCTGAGTGCCACTTGGATCCTGCTGGGACAAAATCAGCTGATGGGGACGCACCAACATCAGATGTTTTCTAACCGAGTACAAGGAGTGCTACGAGTTAGGGCCGTGCTACCAGGAGAGGAAATCAGCACCCGGGTGGCGGGGTCTCAGATGTGAAGGTGAAGCAGCGTTGTTTACACCGCTGACCTGACGGGGGCAGCAGCGCGCCCGTGATGCCTTTCTCATTAAAGGAACTGAGCAGCAACATTAGCATTAGCATCGTAGCTTTACGTTCCTGCTGTTCAGCAGGTGGCAGAAAACCAAAATGATTCTCAAGATGAGTCAAAGGATGAACCGAACGAGAGACCTGACGACAACGAGTTACGCGAGCGACTCGGTCTGAATAAAAGCAGCGCTGGTTCTGGTTCTGTGTTACGAGCAGAGCGCGTCGGACACGAGCCTTTTCGGCGGTGAGGAGTAAAGGAGGAAGCAAAGAGTCGGCTGTAAAACGATCTCAAGCTACTTGTTCAGTGACCCACAGCTGGAATTACACTGAAATGTATTTATCTGCTTAGTAGGGCTGGGCGATGTGGCCTAAAATCAGTATCACCATATACGGAGGATTTCACCTCGATAACGACAAATGGACGATAGCTACAGGTATGCGCAGAAACAACAGTTGTCCACTAGGTGGGGCTGGCACACGTGACTCAAGATGGTACAGCTCCTTAAAGGGACACGAACGTCGCCAACCTAAACACGTCTTTTCATTTTTTATTATCAGATTTATTGCCCAGCCCTACTCCTTATCTACTTACTGCGTATGACTCGTCTTCTCTAGTCATCTAGAACCTTCTGGTGCTGATCCGTGACGAGTCATCACCACAGAACAGAAGTGAGAAAGTGACTAGTTTGTTTTGAACACGGGCTGCAGTACCCACGTCTGACCACAGGGCGTCCCTCTTACTTCAGACTCCTTAAAAATGAGATGAGACTCTGATCCACATGGGCTGGTGTTGGCCCGGTACCCGGCGCTGGTTCTGCTGGGGTGCGTCTCCACCTGCTGGTGGGTTCTGGGTTTTGCTGTTGGATACTTTTCTGTGTCAGACCCAGTTTGTGTTTCTGCTTCCTGGCGGGTCTGGGTCCAGCTGACCGGGTTTTCACAGACTGACCGTGGTGGACAGAACCCTGAGTGAGACAGAGGAACCTGAAACCCATCAGAACCCTCAGAACGTTCAGGTCTCTGGTCTCTAGAGGAGCAGAAAGGGTTCTGGTGGGTTTTGTTGGTGAATCTGGACCGTTTGAGAAGACATCCATCAT